CCTATCATCGGGAGTCTGCGGAACGGCAGCGGTCGGAAGACCATCGTTGACGTTGTCGCACGGAAACGCACTAAGGGGGACTTTGAGAAGGGGCGCCGAAGCGGTACCCAAAACATCTCCTGGTACCAAACTCGAAACACCCGCCAATGGCATCCGTTGGCGGCCATGAGTGACGAAATGTTCTTCGGAAGAAAACATGGATGTTTGCGGAAACATGTCCACCATATGGTTGCCTACAAGAGCAGGAGACCGTCACTGCGAACCAAATCAACTGGGACAAGTTGATGTTCAGCTAGTAATTGAATGGAATGCCGGCCAGCATACCGAAGCTGGAAACCTCCCTCCTGGGCAGAGACATCATGAATGAAAGCTTCAGCGCCACCCTGCTTATGATGGGCCAAAGTCAATTCTCCAATAACGCGATCGCCAGGGCATCTCGTCGGCAAGGCACGGTAGGAGCGGTCGCTAAACCGCATCCAACTATCTCTACCGAGCAATACATCATGTTGCATGACACCGTCAGGCACAACATAGGCCCACACGGCGAGAGATGCTGTCGGGAATTTTCGTCGAAGAAACTGTACGCTCAAACGGACCATTGTCGACGTTTGAAGGGGGGCGGACTCGCAAAACCCACCCCAACAACGAGGTTGAGTGCGTTTTTCAAATAGTGATGAAGCTGCACCCTTGGCTTTCATGGTCTCCCAAGTCCGATAACTAACAAAAGTCTGTGGCGAACCAGTGTCCAACAAAGCCGCGCATCAATATTGCGTAGAAGCCGAGCCACAATGGGTAAGGATTCGTGTAGTGAAAGAGTCATCGTCAACGGTGATGACACCGCCGACTAAACTCGGACCTTGCTCAGGGAGCAAAGGCGACGGAGGACCAGAATGGTCAGCACCCCGAGACACAGCCCAAACGCTGGTGTCGTGATCGGACGGCACACTAGTGGCGTAATGCGAGAATTTCGCAAAACGCGCCGACGACGGCGGCACTGACGCCGTCGATAACCGTTCATGTGTGGAAGGGTTAACTTCGAAAACGGTACGGCGATCCGATGGCGGCGCGGGTGTTTTACCCAAAGCCGACAAGCGAGAACTGCGTTCTGGCGGTGGGGCGTTTGATCGTAAAAGTTGGCGAACCTTCTGTAAAGCTATTCCCAACAAATTTAGACCACGCCAACGGGACGGACGACAAGCGTCAGGGTGATCAGCCCGATGGCCGATCCCCCAAATGGGGTCCCAAGGGCTGGCTTCTGCAAAAGTTTATCGCCGGAACCAAGGAGGTGTAGTCTCATCTCTGGATTTTGCTAAATTTACCGTAAGAATCGGTCAGCACGATATTTTCGCGCTCTTGCTCCCAGAGAGTTTAGTTAAAATTCTGGACCGCACGGCCATACTGTTTATGTAGGCGGGGGTCTGAAACTCTCATAATGTTCTGCAAACATTCGCGGTCGCCAAAAAGGCGAGCTTTTTCTGCAGCAAAAAATTGCTCTGCACACACATAGGAAACACCACCAACAACAAAGGTAGAAGGAGTCCACTGGCAGAAGGGGGAAGGGGATTTCCAAAATAGGACCACGTCTGAATTGGAATACTCCTGAGTAGCATCGCAATCAACGCCTTCTGAGGACGGATGATGACTAGGAGTAAGAGCAGGATTGGTGTCCACTGCTTGAGGACCTGAAGTGGGATACGCCTGGACAGCAGCAAGGCCGACATGATTCGCAGATGGGCCAGTGTCAGGGGTATGGACAAGGGAATTTACATTCATAGCTAAATTGCCTAAATCAGCGGGTGGTTCCATCGGAGAATTCGAATCCACTGCCGAATTCGCCGAGATAAACGGGGGCGCCACGCTTCGTATAGGGCTGTCCGTTTCAAGATCTTGGACCGTATCCGCATCCGTACCGGACCGGGGGGAATATAGATCGCTTTCGCTAGGAGCGGCCACCAATGCGGTGTCTGTCAATACAACTGTGGACGGTGCAAGGTGCTCCTGGCCGGTCCTCCGTGACAAGAATCGCGAGCACACCGTACCTACGGCGGGCGTCTCTGAAGCGTCCTCTGGAGACGGTGGTGTCAACACTCTCAACGTCGATCGCGGGACCTTCCTGGTTTGCGTCTCTGCACGATCGTTCGCGTTGGAAATTGGTGGGGTCTGCTTAGCCCCACCGGGCGAGAGTCGTCGGTCGGAACAAGACGAAACCGCTACCGGTGTTGCGGCGGCTGGCGGACCAACGGCGGCAGCGAGCGCAGACGAATCACACGTATCAGAAGACGCATCAGAATTGACCATTTCTGACGAATCCTCCTCAATCGTATAAAGAGCGTTGCTCTTGCCGGTGTTACCTTCAGACGCCGGGGGGAGCTGCCGAACTACACTCGGTGGCCCCGCGCGTCTGGTCGCTCTGTTCCCACACCTCAAGACGGCACTCGTCTCGGGGGAGTCATTTCCCGAAAGAGGAGCCATCGAACGAGGCGAAGTAGCAGAGGCCGCAGGCGAAGCGTCGAAGGGCAAAAGGGGAACAGCATCGTCCTGTGCATTCCCAGTCCTAGCGATAGAATGTAAACAAGAATTAGCGGGTGTAATGACCCCAGCATTTAGCAGGGCAGGAGCACTTCGCTCCACCATCCCTGATACACGTACATCTTGTGAAGAACGTGCAAAATGTCCCGATGGTGCCGAAGGCGGGTCGGGGGAGGTACACGAACCGCCACCGACGGGTCAGTTGGAACCACGAGCATGGTGGCCATTCTGACCGCCAGATTGGAAATTGCCCGGTTGTCTAGCGTTGTAATTCGACGCGACAAATACACCTGAAGAGCCTGTCTGAGCCGATGACTGCGGTCTGTACGTATACAGAGCACCAGGGTGGTGGGTGTTGTCTGAAGACGACTGTTGAGAAGTGTTAACATAGTTTCCAGTGTTGCGACCATCATTCTGGGAATTACCGTTGTTACGGTAGTCGCCTGCGTGATTTCGACGCGAGGGCGAAGAATGACGTTTGTTACGCCCGCCACCACCACCCGAACCGGTGTGTGACTTACGACGGTGAGACCGCATGCGACCTTGCCAACGTCGGAAAGCGTC